GCAGGAGAAGGACTAACTGAGGCAGGAGGAACCTACGTCCTCCAGGAATAGCTTGCCAACATATGGTTTCTGATGCACACAATATGTACGTGTTAGGTTATGTCAAGGCAACCATGACTGGCACGTTGCCCTCCCTTATCGCATCGGATTACCCAGTCGCGGTCGTTGTGTCCTTGTTGTAGGGGCATATTGACACATTGATTTTAAATGGGTATGTATCACAACGATATATAATCCATGGTGTATATTTGTCAGCTACGGAAGCCATAAATACAGTTGACAACCGATGGTCGTAGAGCATATGTTATACCAAGTCAAGACAATTCATATATCCGTAAGAATTTGGAGTATGTTAGCTCACCTTAGCTGAAGAAACTGGGGCAAATATGAGACTTCTACAAACGGTTTGGACATCTTCCCGATTTTGAAAATTTGCATGAACGAACCTGGCAAAACTTTATTCCAAAAATCTCTAAAACTGGATAACAGTTTAAAAATAGGATTATTTGTTTAAGTTATACATATTCCATTCAGGCCAATGTTTTCTCTATTGAGTGCCGTTGTCTTTCGGTGTTTTTTCCTGTCCTCAGATTATAAAATATATTTTATGCATATGAATTATACATCATACGACTCAAAAGTGCGTGCAGGGTTACAACATTGATTGCCTCATTATAGCTTTCGACAAGTTTATGTGGAGGACATTTCTAAATCTGATGCCGCATCAGTGACAAAAATTATATCCGATGAATTCCCTATTTCGTATTGTTTGATATGTTCCCGAATTTTTATTAAGGGGAACATTTGACATGCCTGATTTGCCTAAAGTTGATCATGTCATCAACCACTGATTTACATTGAGTTAGTCATGCCATCAACCACTTTTTGAATCTCTTCTCTTAATTATGTTCATGTCAGTTCCTAAGGTATATTTTATTCTTTTGAAACTACAAAGTAAATTACGAACATGTGTCATACCAACTTTCCGGACATGTGTAAACTGCACTTGACCGTTTTGTCTCTTTGTATGCCTGTATAGAACCATTATTCATGTTTCGACTAAATTCCAACATTTGTTTTTTTCCTATTTACTGTCAAACACTTATTAAAACAAAAACAATTATGACTCTGATGCTTAGTTTACACTCTCACGTATATCATGTGAAGCACATTAAATCTTTTTTACACATTTTTTCATCAGGCCTTCTTTCAATGTTTGATTGTTTGTTTTTACTATTCCCCCACTCTATATTTTATTTCAGCTGTTTCTATATCCCTTAAAACAACTCTTGTCTCCCGATGGATACCACCTGTAAAAGGACAAAATTACACAGTGAGAAATTGTACCTGTGTATCCTTCTAGGTTATATCTCAAATCAAATAATACATATGTTACGCCATCGCATTGTACAAATACTGTTGTGTGGCGTCAGGAAACAGACAGACATTCCCTTTTTCTTGTTTGTGAATGGTGGGTGCCACCTGTTGGGCAACACACGCTTGCCCTTTCCGCGATTACCTGTTATCTTCACTGACTGCGTGATCGGGTGTTGACTTAGTTCATTCATGTCACCGAATCCCAATTGCGTAGATCGATGCTGATGGCGTCCATCACTGGAGTGTTTGGTCCATATTCGATTATTTACAACCACAGTCATATAGCGGGAATATAGCTGCGTAATCGGATTATCAGCATCGTTGTGGTGAGTTCAATCTGTTATTGGTGCACTTTATCAGACACACGTTATTTCATCATTTGTTCACTTTCCGAAACAGAGATTGGGACAAGTACGAATATTAACATCTTGGAACTGATGAAAAACTGCCGTGAAACGGTTAATCAAACAATATATTTTAATATTGTTTACGAATTCCGACAGTCACAGCAGGTCATATATATTAATTGTCTGTACTGCATTAATAATCCACCTCTAGTATGTATATGTGAACATTTCCTATTTAAAAATATCGACTTTATTATTTTAGCAGTATTTCTTCACAAGGATCAGATGCATTTTAAACTTGAACAGCATTAATTGTTTTCATGCTATTAACCACCGAGTTACTGGAGTAGAGTCGATCACTCACAGGCCGCTCTGACTCAACATTCACTTGTGATCTGCTGATTGACATTGATACCAGCTGAAAATATGTGTCTTTTGGGTTACATTTGGGTATAGTAAACCATGTTGATCACAAGTACACGGTCATAGTACACGAGCACAGCCAAAAGAAAGTGTGACTATGTCATGGCTGTTTGACTATGCTCTTCTCTGTTAGCATAATACTTATTCAGTGCACGTCGCTGCATGTGTAGATATTCGCGATTCGAATAACAGTCTCAAGCAAGTGATTTCAGGGATTTCAATAAAGGTCAGGCCACTCCTGAATGTGTTCAAGCTATCAATCACTGATTCATCTGGAGTTGTTCATTCGACTATCCGCGGGTTTGCATGAAGTTGGAAGCCAGCAGCCACAGATTGACCTGAACGTGCTTATACTATCAGCCACTGAAGTATGTGTTTGTGTTCATGCTATCAACCACTGAACAACCTGGATATGCTCATGTCATCAATCACGGACGTATGTGTTCATGCTATCAACCACTGAACTACCTGGACATGTGCATGTCATCAACCACGGACGTATGTGTTCATGCTATCAACCACTGAACAACCTGGACATGCTCATGTCATCACTCACGGACGTATGTGTTCATACTATCAGCCACTGAACAACCTGGACATGCTCATGTCATCAATCACGGACGTATGTGTTCATACTATCAACCACTTAACAACCTGGACATGCTCATGTCATCAATCACGGACATATGTGTTCATGCTATCAACCACTGAACAACCTGGATATGCTCATGTCATCAATCACGGACGTATGTGTTCATGCTATCAACCACTGAACAACCTGGACATGCTCATGTCATCAATCACGGACGTATGTGTTCATGCTATCAACCACTGAACAACCTGGATATGCTCATGTCATCAATCACGGACGTATGTGTTCAAGCTATCAACCACTGAACAACCTGGATATGCTCATGTCATCAATCACGGACGTATGTGTTCATGCTATCAACCACTTAACAACCTGGATATGCTCATGTCATCAATCACGGACGTATGTGTTCATGCTATCAACCACTGAACAACCTGGACATGCTCATGTCATCAATCACGGACGTATGTGTTCATGCTATCAACCACTGAACAACCTGGATATGCTCATGTCATCAATCACGGACGTATGTGTTCATGCTATCAACCACTGAACAACCTGGATATGCTCATGTCATCAATCACGGACGTATGTGTTCATGCTATCAACCACTGAACAACCTGGATATGCTCATGTCATCAATCACGGACGTATGTGTTCATGCTATCAACCACTGAACAACCTGGACATGCTCATGTCATCAACCACGGACGTATCTGAAGTTGCTCATGCAAACAAACACTGACGTATGTGATTGCGTTCATGCTATCAACAACTGATATACCAGGAGTAGAATCGAGTACTTACAGGCCGTCGTGAACCAACATTCACTTGTTATCTGGTGATCAAATTGCTAACAACTGACACGAAATGGTGTGTCCTATGGCTTACATTTGGAAACGTCACCATGAGAAGCCATGTTGATCACAAGTACTTGCATAGTACACGAACACAGTAGTATGAATGTTGTAATGTGTCACTGAGCCCTTCTCTTCGACTTCATGAATGTCCTGTCAGCACATGTTGGACGTCGCCCGTCTATGTTAGCACAATACATATTCAGTGCACGTTGGTGCAGATGTTCGCGATTCCAAAAACATTCTCACTCAATTTATCTCAAGGATATCAATCTGCAACTGGCGGAGAGTCATGTCACGTGATTGACTATATAGGATTAAATACACTTCAAGTTGACACCCAACACATATATAGCGTGTCTTTGGTATGGGTATAATGGCCCAGAGGGGTGGAAAGTAGTCAGCTATTGACGAATGAAAAAAGGCACAGCTTGGAGCAGTGATACAGATTATGTCGGACAGTAAACTATATTTTACCCTGACTGAAGCTAGCCCTATCCCCTAACCCAGAGTAGGCTACACCCGTGCTGTTTTCCCGGGAAATAAGACCGTCACTGGAAGCCTTGGCTGTCTGTATTGATACACTATGCAGGGGTGCATTTGACTGTTCTGTCACAATGTACCTGGATATGTGGGGAACGTCAGCAGTGTCGACTGAGCTGGGTAGGTAAGTGTTGTGTGTTGTGTGCGTGGCCGAGCTGGGGAGGCACGGGGACGTTGGAAGTCTGAGTTGGGTGGGAGAGTATTGGATAAGTGTGTGCGTGTGTGTGTGTGGTGGTGTTGGTGGAGAGATGCGGGGTTGTGTTTGTGATGCGGGTTTCTGAGGTCAGTAGCAGGGTTGACTGAGGAAATCATATCCACAATGATACTAGATAAAAAGACGAATCGACTCATGAACAATATTTTTTACTCACGATTTGTTCCAGGTTGTAACATATTTTTAAAGAACGAAGTCGCCACAAGTTATTAAAGCACTCCTGGGTTATCACTAAATTATAATAAACGATCTTACGTTGAAATGAATTAAAAGAAATATTCATATGTACAAACATATGTGTATAGAGTGCATATATATGCGTTTGAAATATATTTTAAACTGAACAGCAGAGCGAGGTTTCACATGTTACATTGAGAGGGAATACATATACAGGTAACATAGCTGGACCATGTCAGTTTATGGAAGAACACTTGTGAGAACACAGGGAGAGATCTAGCTGGTATTGCTGTATTTTCTGACTATGTACTGCCACTATCCTTCTCCGAGCACCTCAAAGTGTTGAGTTCAACAAACAGCTTATCAGTGTATCTGATGAATAGTTTCTGTTTTTGACACCATTGCAGGTGTGTTAACCCGTTCAATAGAATAAGTGGTGAATACATACAGGATTTTTCTCTTCCAAGCAGGCTTCATATGAACAAGTAGAGAACCCTTTAAGCCATGCTGAGGCCGAGCACAGTTCTGTATTTCAGTGAGTACATTCTTTCTGCACAAAATTATGCTTCAGTACGACACATTGACTACATGAGCAGCAACTTAATCACCCGGTTACCGCGCGTTTCGAACAGTAAGGTTCAAGAAACCACATGACCATTTATTAATGAGATCCATTTGAATTATCGCCTAACTATGACAAAACATTCAACAGTAAATAATATTACTGTATCAGCCTGTACTATATATAATGACATGGCAATAAATATGGTCGATATTCTGTTATTAAACATTTGCAGTAAATGTTCTACATTCAATAAAATGAAAACACATCCTTGTATTATTTGTCACAGTCATTTTAATATATGAAGCCACGTTTAAATTTATATCAACATGCACAATACATGTGCATACATGATTTGTTTAAAGGATGCAATAAGAAAATACATTAATCAAATGCACGAAGTGGTTATCTGAATGTGAGCAAACAGCTCTATGATTGTTTTACACATCAACTATTTACACAATGTTTGCACGTTTACACAGTATCACTACGTGACGTGCGTTTCTTTAATACAACTTCTGGGTTTCTTCCTTACTTTCATTCATCTTTATTTTGTCACATTTCAGCATTTCTGATTCATGCAGTCGCAGCATGCGAGTGGGGCAAACATGGGAAGAATTGTGACAAACGCTGCTCCAAAAACTGCCAGGTTAACCTACAGAGGAACCTCACACACTGTAACAAGGAGACAGGAGAGTGCTCCGATGGCTGCATCACTGGATGGTATGCTGCTCAATGTGACCAACTTTGCAGCAAGAACTGCCTGGACAACGTCTGCAATCACGTGAATGGACACTGCGCAAATGGATGCAGTGGAAACCAAAAAGGGGATTTCTGTGAGATCACTAAAGGTGTGGTATGCTAACCAGTTTCACATTGTTACTTCAAAAACATGGCTTCATCAGGTGTATCTGCGATTCTTAAATATTTTGTTTGATTGGCACCACATATAGGTTGGTTGATGGCACTATAGAAATCCTGATTTTAATGCAATGGTTCCTCAGTGCAAACAACTGCACAAATAATATATATATTCAATAGCACCCATCGTATTACAAATATGTTTTTGGTTTCATGTAGCCTCTAAAGTCTGAATTATGTATTATCTCATTTGTTCGTTTTTGTATAACGTCTCACTCAGCCATATAAGGTCTTATCGCACATTTGATCCCAAATGGATGTGGGGTATTTCTCAATGAGTACTCATTTCAGTACATCAATACGAAATCAGCTTGTATTATGCAAAAAACCAAGAGTGTAACGGTGGTATTGTTACCCATTTGTCAAATGCTAGTACATATCATCTACCTATTTAAACGAACAAATGCATCAATTAGTATTTTCATAATTATACAATAATATTACATCACAAAACTGGAATTGGAACATTGGAATTTAGGATTGAGAACATACTACAAGCAGCACCTTCATTTATCACAGAAACTATATTAATAAGATGACTCAATTGTACGGATGTACATCGGCAACGTTTATTTCGACAGACGTCAAGGTCAAAACAGATGAAACAACAGGACTGTCAACGGCACACGTCGCAGTGATCATCACAGTCCCCCTTGTGGCAATCAGTGTTATCATCGTCGTAACCGTCGTCATAAAACGTCAATACAACAGGTAAGTAAAACAGCAGTTCATATAATCTTTTTGAAAACGTGACTTGCATTTCTAAGATTCGTTCTGTGTACTCTTACACAAAGCCGACATGGTTTAAAAGAAGATGACTCTTTGATAGTACTAAAACTAGGGTGTAAATATACAAATGCAAGTTATGTTTTTGTTGCAGTGAAAATACGAGTCATGATGAAATGTTATTGTTACTGTCGAGAATGGTGACGGTGGGGTTCTAATGAACGTACTCAGTTCTACTACATTTAGCAAAACAGTTTATCATTTTGAATTATCACGCACTCGATGCCTCAAGTGAAAAAGTGAACAACGCCAATAATATAAGCAATATATTAAACACAGCTTAAATTCCCTTTATTTTTTTCAAGTGAACCAGTAGTAACAATTGTTCCTTAGTAAAGTGGACATTAATGGCATCTTGGCAGCGCTGTCTAATTGCTGTTTTTGTTTTTTTTTCCTAAAGAGCTGTTCCCATAATAGTTTTAACTTTACATCTCTTACAATAAACGTCTGAATAACATCAATGTCACATGATGGTAAACAATTCGAGTTTGTGGCAAGGTGGATGAGACAGTCGTGATTCCTTACAATAAACTTACTGTTTGTGACCTTTACATCAGTGGACGTATAGCGGCCTTGTTATCCACTTGATGTCCATGGTTGTGTCTATCAAATTACTCTCAGAACTAATGATAGGTTCTTATTAATTGCAGAAGAAAGTCAAACAGGAGGCCAACAGGTAATGTAGCAAACGACATTAGATAGTTAGATATCTTCACACATGGTAACTGCCACTGGGTAATTGACCCTGTGAAACACCCCCATTTTGATTCCCAACACCGCATCCCGCCATCTGGGAATCTGATCACAAAACCTTTCGCAAACACCAGGCATCATCACTATTTGAAATTGACTCAGAAATATAATAGAAGTTGTACTCGTACAATGGCCTGCTTTTAGTGTGCCTAATTTAGAAGGATAATAGGCTTATGGGTTGTTGTGTGTCCTTGGTTGATTTTGTTCACGATGGCAACAGTAGGCCTAAACTTACATCTAGCACGTGTCATTGTCACACAATGATGGATGGAAGCTGATTTAATGCAACACAACAATAATCATAGTTAGCAAGATGCATTTCTCCTTGAGTGGCTGATGTACAGAGTAGGGCCAGGTTGTCGGTTGATGTTTGTTGTATCTCTTTAGTCCTCATTGTAACCTACTACAGTGTAAAGTTCCGGGATATAATTGGTCCGAATGGTGATCAGCATACCGTCATTCCACATTCGCAGAGATCGATGCTCATGTTGTCAGTCACAGGATTGTCTGCTCCATCTCAATTATGTACATACCAGCATCATCTTGTCCCGGGGAAAACCCTCGTCATCAGAGTCAGTCACTTCTTGAACAAAAAAAATGACAAAGACCATCACACATAAATCATAAATATATGTCAAAATCAATATATTAACACTTTTACTGCTGTAAAGATCTGGGTTATAATTGGTCTTCAGCAACCCATGCTTGTCGTAACGGTGATCAGCATAGTTCCCCATTTGCGGTGATCGATGTTCATGTTGTCAGTCACTAGATTGTCTGTCCCAGTCTGAACTATGCACAGATCAACATCATTTAGCCCCGGGCAAAACCCTCGTCCTCAGGGTCAGTCTATTCTGGAAAAAAAATTGACAAAGAACATTACACAGAAAACAAAAGATATATGTCAGAATCAATACGAGTGTACATTAACACTTTTATTCATTCAAAAAGACTATAATCCTCGTTGACTTGAGCCTATTGATATATTTCAACGTTTCATTATTTGGACATTTCCTAATTTGACACATCAGTAACAAATATTCAAAGGCGATGCATCTCCCTACTTTGACTGTACCAGTCATTACGTGACTTCAACTCACCCAAAACAGTAGTCAGGCTTCTGTCAATACTTGAGTCTTCTTTGATAGGGATTTAGAAGAGAAGTACCATGTACCGATAATAATATATGGATAACTTCATTATTACAATTAAGAGCGACGTTACGGTACGGTCAAGCAAGTGATATACAACACAATACTTACTTACTTACTTACTTTGGAGATTTAACGTGCGCTTTCAGACTGATGCGTATTTCGCACACGGGCCCGGCCAGGCCATTTAATTTGTTTCCGAAAGGGGCGAAAGTGGTCTGTGCAAGCCAAGAAGGGGCCTTAGGGGTTGCTTATATAGAATTTGGGAATTTTGAGATTTGGAATATATGCCGATAGGGTTGGGGAGGAGAACTGAGGGAGCTGGGTATGGTGGATGTTTGTTTGTTTATGTGATTTTGATTTGGTAGGTTATTGTGTTTTTAGATGCGTTTTAATAGTTCCGTTTTGATTAAGAATGCGCTTAAGGCCTTGAAGTTTTCTAGTTTATTTTGTGGGTTCAGTATTGCTTCTAGAGTGAGAGCCTTGTTTAGATTGAGGGTGGTTTGTAATGCGGTCCGATGTGTTAGGTAAGTGTGTGCAGTGGATGAGTGCATGTTGTGTGGTTTCTAGTTGTTTGCAGTGTGGGCAGTTACCTGTAGTGTGTTTTTTATATTTTTTTTATGTGGTTATTTAGGTTGATGGGTTCTGTTTGGAGTTTAGTGATTACTCTGTCGATTTTTTTGGATGGATGGAGAATTGTTGGTTTGGTTAGTGGTTTGCTGAGCACCTTTTTTGATTTGGCTATTTGAGTTTAGATATAGGTTATGCCATTTTTGTGTGATTTTTTGCTTGTTTACACTTTTAATTTCTGATTTTGAGGTGGGTAAGGTTAAGCTTATTTCTGGGATTTTGAGGGATAGTTTAGCTGCTTTATCGGCGTTTTCATTACCGTATATTCCTACGTGGGCGGGTATCCACAAGAAGGTTATTTGTTTGCCTGCCTTAGTTAGGTCGTTGGAGCTTTTAAGTATTTGATTTATTAATTTAGGTCGGTTTTTGGTAGTTTTGTTTTGGAGGGCTTGCAGTCCACTTAGGGAGTCGGTAAGTATTAGGATTTTTTTTGTGGTTTTTGGATTCTTGATTATGGAGGGCTGAGGCCATGCCCATTAGTTCTGCCGTGAATATTGATTGGTTGTTTGGAAGTCGGATGGATTGTGTGGTTTTAGTTGGTTGTGTGGTATGGACTCCGAAACCTGTGTCTCCGTCCGTGTAAATGTGACACCAATTTGGCCAATTTTCGTGTATGTATGCTAGTGTGGTAGTTTTAGCTATGTTTAGGTCGGTTTGTTTATTTATTTGGCTAGCTAGTGTTGTGTATTTTGGGTATTTTAAGTTTAGGGGTGAAGATATTTGATTGTTTGCAGTTTTGTTTAAGATTTTTATTTGGTGTTCATTTAGGTAGTTTGTTATTCTATGGGATATTGGGGTAAGTAAGGGGTGTTTACGAGCTAGAGTTTGGTTTTTGGGGCTGATGTTTTGGTTTATTAAGTTTTGGATGAGAGGGTTTGATTGGGACGCGGCACAGAAATTTAAGCTTAGCTGTTCCCTGCATAGACTTAGTGGCATTTCTCCTGTTAAGGCCTGAAGTGAGGTGTAGGATGTGCCATGTTGGGTGCATGTAATTAGTTTGAGAGCCTGATATTGTATTGAGTCAAGTTTTTTTAGATAGAGAGTTGTTTAGGGTGTTGTATATGGCACAGCCGTAGTCTAGTTTTGATTTAATTAGTGATATGTAGAGAGAGAGGAAGGTATCTTTGGAGGCTCCCCAGTTAGAGCCAGTTAGGCATCTTAGGGTGTTTAGGTCTTTACTGCATTTAGTTGTTAGGTTTTGGATGTGAGCTTCCCAGGTGAGATGTTCATCGAAAATAAGTCCTAAGAATTTGGTTTGTTTTTGAAATTTGATTGTTTGATTGTTTAGCGGGAGGATTGGGGAGGCGGGTTTCATGTTTTTATGTTTGAATACTATTCCTGTTGTTTTTTTCTGAGTTAAGGGAGAAGCCACATTTGTCAGCCCATTGTTGTATTTTATGAAGAGATTTTTGGAGTAAATTTTGGACCATTTTCATGCTTTTAGTGCGGATCCAGAGGGCGCCATCATCCGCGAATTATGATGTGTTTACTTTAGGGGATAGGCCCTCGAATAGATCGTTTATCATTATATTGAAGAGGGTGGGGCTGAGGATACTGCCCTGTGGAGTGCCATTTTCTAGGGGACATTGGTCCGATAGAGTTTGGTCTATGCCCACGGTTATTTTTTACGATTGTTTAGGAAGTCCTTGATGTAGTTTATTATCTGACCTTTGAATCCTTTTTTTTAAAGTTTTTTTGTATTAGCCCATCGTGCCATACCATGTCGAAAGCTTTAGAGAAGTCTAAGAAGATGCCTGTGGTATATTGTTTATTTAGCTGTCCTGTCTTAATATCTTGTTCTAGTCGGGCGAGGTTATCTAGGGTTGAGCGGCCAGGAGTGAAACCGCTTTGATCTGGGTTTATGATGTTATCTTATCTATTTTTAGCCATTGATTCCATTACTTTACATAAGTTTGAAGTTAGGGATATAGGTCTATATGAGTTAGCTTACAACACAGCATGGTTGACAATTATATATACAGGTAGGAGGCAATGTTTATACAGAAAAGTAGATATGAGATGTAGTTATACTGGAGTGGAGAAGCCTGTTATGTACACACAAGGGTAGTAGCGACAATAACCGGTGAAGTCAGTGACATAAACAAAGAATGAAGCCAGTAATATTAACAACCGGACTATGACTGGTTGGGGTCTTTGATGAGTTGATGGTACGCCGGGGGAATGTAATGGCTTTGGTCACGGTTGATTGACGGTTGGAGTCTTTGAAGTTGGTGGTGAGGTCTTTGACTTTATCTTTGACTTAGACTCATCTTTGGAGACTGAGCTTTGATGTTCTTTAATTCGGGTTTTGAGGGGCCTAGATATTTTTCCTTATGTAAGCTTGTCCAAAATTGCACGGAATGTGGTACACTGCTCCTAATGTTCTAGCTTGTGGCTGGATGGTGGTTTCCCTGTGTTTTTTTATTGTGTTCTGAATGGTATGACTTTTCTTGAAAACTACATCAATTTTGGCCTGTTCCGTTAAGAGTCTCTGGATTTTGTGGCTAACTGTTCCAATGTAGAGGAGGCTGATCACAAAGGGTACAGACTGTTGACGGGGATATTTCTGATATCGCTTGTCGATGTTCTGTATCGTCTGTTGTACTAGTTCTCAGGGTAGAGGTTATACTGTGTAAATACTTGTTTGAGGTGGCTTAGTTCAGGGGTTAGATGCTGTTTCGTAGAACAGATGTTGTGAGCTCGTCTTGCTTGGGTTGAAATAATTCCTTTCTTGATTTGAGGTCGCTCTTTATTGTAAGAAAGAAGTTGTTCATCCATACATTCTTATCCTTACTAAATATGTGAGTCATAACAGTTGTAATAGTTGCATTAAGCATGGTTTCAACTATCATGAACACAGACTCGCAAAAAGAAAGGTCCTAACAATAATAGACTGTTTATTTTCAACAAGATCAGTAATGGTACTGTGGTGTCACTAGATTTTCTGGTTCATCGATCACTTGATTGTCTGGTTTGTTTGCAGGCTGATGTCGCATGACAGGGGTACTGCTATGTTGCGTCAGGAAATACATACTTACGTTTGTAATCCATGTATATGAATGGCGGGTTCTACCGGTAGGTCAGGATATGCTTACCCTTTCTTGCGAACATCTGGTGTCATCACTGATTTTCAGTGGCCCATTCACACAATTTCAACATCTATTTGCCCTTTACGCCAAATTGAATCTGTTTTGACAAAAAATCTAGGGGCGTTTTTCTCTTCCATTGTCAATTTATGTTATATTAATGAGCATAACCACTGACTCAGCATCATCTGGAAACCTTTTTTTCTAATTCCACTGAATCACAAAATAGGTTACGTTATATCTTCACATTATTTTTAGATTATTTTCATAATAATATTACCACATGTTATCTGATTTTCTTTGTTTCTTTTTTTTCCAGCTGTTACTGACCCTGAGAATCCTGAAGATGAGCCTTTACTGAGAGGTAGGTAACCATAACAACAGAGTGATGTTGTAACAATGACGTTGTGTGTATTCTCACATATTCCGAACATTGTGAAAGGAAAACTAACATCAATAGAATTGTACTTGTCTTTCACCTTGTAATGCCTAATGCCTTCAGTACTGCAGTTGTATTGAGAGTGAGTGGGTGAGTGAGGTTTTGTGCCGCTTTTAACAATATTCCAGCAATATCGGCGAGGGACACCAGAAATAGGCTTCACACATTGTATCCATGTCGGGAATCGAGCCCGGGTCTTCGGCGTGATGCGCGAACGCCTTAACCACCAGGCTACCCCACCGCCCCGCAGGTGTAGAGACGTAGATGATGATGACGGTATATGTGTCATAAGTAGTGTAGCGTACGGGCGCGTATTCACACTCAATTGTTAATGCAAAGTTCTAACATTTCATACTTTATATACTCTTTTGATAATACAGTGGGAGTTGAGATAAATATCTCCATCAACACTGAGTGAGGACTTGTATTGCGAGTAGTATGGACATTCATGAAGTGTTCAGGGATAGAGGCCAAATTTGGGAGAGACAGTCACGTACTCTTTGTGAAAAGTACTCAAAAACAATTCGATATCACCAACCTGTCTCTCGACCTATTTATTTGACACACCACGCTTAAACGCTCAGAAATAAAGTAAGCCTTTCATCACTGGTTATATGTCCAAGGTTTTGATTCAATCAATTGATTGATAATAATGCTTTGGTAGCCTGTTCTGCTAAACATAATTGTACATTTCGACCAAGACAGTTTGGGAGTGAAAAAAGTGCTAAGATAGGTACAGTTATTCACAGTTTTTATCTGTTCCCTTTTAAAATATAATTTATCATAATGTCTCAGTGGTCTGCCCTTCTTGTTTTAAGATCGATATTCATTCCTGTAGATTTAGATATACCGAACAACAAAAGTTCCTATGACATTGAATAAGATTTGATGCAAGGTTATGTTTTTTACCAAATCTGAAACAATTTCGGTTTGCAACAGATAAAATACTCCTGTAAGTGTTCTATTGGTTTAATTTGCCATACTGACTTCAGAAATTGTGTGATGTCAAAAAAGAAAAACACGAACATGCCAAGGTGTCAATTTACAAATCAATAGCGTGTGTGTCCACCTCTGGTTGCGATGTAAGCAACACATCTTCGCCTCATGGAACGGACCAGGCGTCGCACAATGTCCTGTGGGATATCTGTCCATATCTGCTGGAACTCGTTTCGAAGTTCCTGGAGTGTCTGTGGAACACGTGGTTTACGTCAAAGGCGCCTATCCATCTCATCCCACATGCGCTCGATTGGTGAGAGATCAGGGGAGCGAGCTGGCGAGGGGATGACATTCACGTTGTTTTGTTGAAGATAATTCTGAACAAGCCGAACAATATAAGGCTGGGCGTTGTCATGTTGAATGGTAATGCCTGGGCAATGACGACGCAAAAACGGTAGATCAATAGGGCCGCTGATCTCGTCGCTGTAGCGCTGTCCATTGCGATTTCCCTATACCACTAGTCCTCTGTCCTGCTGTTATCCTACCTCATACCATAACGCTGCCGCCCCCGAACCGATCTTCTTCGTCAATGATTGACGTAACGTTCACCTCGAATCTGTCCATCGCTGTGGCTGAGGTGAAAACGAGACTCGTCAGTGCATAGAACTTGTCCCCAATGCATGGCCGTCGAGCGTAGACGCACCAGTGTCTGCACCACTGTAGGCGTGCTTGACTGTAGTTTCCTGTGAAAATGGGACGTCCGGCGGGACGTCTGGCGACAATCCCTGCACATCTGAGGCGACGACGTACAGTTTGTGAATATATTCGTCGAAGGCCAGGGATGCTTCTTGCAGTCACTGTTGCTGGCTGGAATCGATTTCATATGTGTCTTGTCTATTATTGGTTATGCGTGGCCTGCCACTCCGAGGATGGTCTCTGACTGCATTCGTATGTTGCCAACGTTGCCATAAACACTAAATGGTGTTTCTGTGGACGTTAAATTGTCCTGCAACATCACGTTGACTCGATCCTGCTTTAAGCATATCAATGGCTCGCAGACGCTCATTTTCGGACAGGCTTGGCCTTTCGTAATGTTGAATAATTGTGTAATTTTGTTGTTTTTCTGAGTGGTTGTTGTCAGCTCGATGCTAAGCGATGCATATGGAACCCTGTTAATGCACATGTTTTTCTACCCATTCTTGCGTATGAAATGCATGGGGCTTGCATAGAAGTCAACTTTTGCATGGAATGCATTCTTTTCTGTAGCAGTTGCATTTGTGTGACTAGATTCCATACAGGTACTACATTATTGAAAACCAAACTTTATTTGTTTGAAATATACACTAAATATTGGTGTCACAGGAACTTTTGTTGTTGAGTATATGTTCGTAGTTTTAAATAGAATGATGATATTATCTGAACCATTAAACGAGTAATAATTTTCAAAATGAACTGCATACATCTATGTTAGATACAGGCACATTGCTTACCGTCATACGGTTTTATTGAATTGAGATGCATGTATCCAACACAGAGGTCATTGTACCAAAAATTGCTCACGATTGCCTTGTTAAGGAAGCAATGAGAAGGTCTTGTTAAGGAAGCAGTGAGAAGGCCTTGTTAAGGAAGCAATGAGAAGGTCTTTAAAGGAAGCAGTGAGAAGGTCTTGTTAAGGAAGCAGTGAGAAGGTCTTGTAAAGGAAGCAGTGAAAAGGCCTTGTTAAGGAAGCAATGAGAAGGTATTTAATGGAAGCACTGTAAAGGCCTTGTTAAGGAAGCAGTGAAAAGGTCTTGTTAAGGAAGCAGTGAGAAGGTATTGTTAAGGAAGCAGTAAGAAGGTCTTGTTAAGGAAGCAGTGAGAAGGTCGTGTTAAGGAAGCAGTGAGAAGGTCTTGTTAAAAAAGCAGTAAGAAGGTATTGTTAAAGAAGCAGTAAGGTCTTGTTAAGGAAGCAGTAAGAAGGTCCTGTTAAGGAAGCAATAAGACGGTCTTGTTAAGGAAGCAGTAAGAAGGTCTTGCTAAGGAAGTAGTGACAAGGTCTAATTAAGCAAGAAGTAAGAAGGTCTTGTTAAGGAAGCAGTAAGAAGGTATTGTTAAGGAAGTAGTGAGAAGGTCATGTTAAGGAAGCAGTGAAAAAGGTCTTGTTAAGGAAGCAGTAAGAAGGTCTTGTTAAGAAAGCAGTCAGACGGTCTTGTTAAGGAAGCAGTAAGAAGGTCTTGTTTAGGAAGCACTAAGAAGGTCTTGTTAAGGAAGCAGTGAGAATGTTTTGTTAAGGAAGCAGTAAAAAAGGTCTTGTTAAGGAAACAGTAAGGTCTTGTTAAGGAAGCAGTAATAAGGTCTGGTTAAGGAAGCAGTGATAAGGTATTGTTAAGAAAACAGTAAGAAGGTATTGTTCAAGAAGCAGTAAGGTCTTGTTAAGGAAGCAGTAAGAAGGTCTTGTTACGGAAGTATTGAGAAGGTCATGTTAAAGAAGCAGTAAGAAGGTATTGTTAAGGAAGCAGTAAAAATGTCTTGTTAAGGAAGCAGTAAGAAGGTCTTGTTAAGAAAGCAGTAAGACGGTCTTGTTAAGGAAGCAGTAAGACGGTCTTGTTAAGGAAGCAGTAAGACGGTCTTGTTAAGGAAGTAGTGAGAAGGTCATGTTAAGGAAGCAGTAAAAATGTCTTGTTAAGGAAGCAGTAAGAAGGTCTTGTTAAGAAAGCAGTAAGACGGTCTTGTTAAGGAAGCAGTAAGACGGTCTTGTTAAGGAAGTAGTGAGAAGGTCATGTTAAGGAAGCAGTAAAAATGTCTTGTTAAGGAAGCAGTAAGAAGGTCTTGTTAAGAAAGCAGTAAGACGGTCTTGTTCAGGAAGCAGTAAGAAGGTATGGTTAAGGAAGCAGTAAGAAGGTATTATTAAGGAAGCAGTGAGAAGGTCATGATAAGGAAGCAGTGAGAAGGTCTTGTTAAGGAAGCAGTATGAAGGCCTTGCTAAGGAAGCAGTGAGAAGGTCTTGTTGAGGGAGCAGTGAGAAGGTATTGTTAAAGAAGCAGTAAGGTCTTGTTAAGGAAGCAGTAATAAGGTCTGGTTGAGGAAGCAGTGAGAAGGTCTTGTTAAGGGAGCAGTGCGAAGGTCTGGTTAAGGAATCAGTGATAATGTCTTGTTAAAGAAGCAGTGAGAAGGTTTTGTTAAGGAACTAGTGAGAAGGTCTTGCTAAGGAAGCAGTAAGTAGGTCTTGTTAAGGTAGTAGTGAGAAGGTCATGTTAAGGAAGCAGTAAAAAGGTCTTGTTAAGGAAGCATTAAGAAGGTCTTGTAAAAGCAGGAAGACGGTCTTGTTAAGGAAGCAGTAAGAAGGTATTGTTAAATAAGCAGAAAGAAGGTCTTGTTAAGGCAGTAGTGAGAAGGTCATGTTAAGGAAGCAGGAAGACGGTCTTGTTAAGGAAGCAGTAAGAAGGTCTTGTAAAAGCAGGAAGACGGTCTTGTTAAGGAAGCAGTAAGAATGTATTGTTAAGGAAGCAGTAAGAAGGTATTATTAAGGAAGCAGTGAGAAAGTCCTTAATGGAAGCACTGTAAAGGTCTTGTTAAGGAAGCAGTGAGATGGTCGTGATAAGGAAGCAGTGAGGTCTTCTTAAGGAAGCAGTGAGAAGGTCTTGTTAAGGAAGTAGTGAGAAGGTCATGTTAAGGATGTAGTGAGAAGGTCATGTTAAGGAAGCAGTAAAAAGGTCTTGTTAAGGAAGCAGTAAGAAGGTCTTGATAAGGAAGCAATGAGAAGGTCTTGTTAAGGAAGCAGTGATAAGGTCCTGTTAAGGCAGCAGCGAGAAGCTGTGCCTTAGGAAGCAGTGAGGTCTGGTTAAGGAAGCAGTGAGAAGGTCTGGTTAAGGAAGCAGTGAGGTCTTGTTAATGAAGGAGTGAGAAGGTCGTGTTAAGAAAGCTCTAAGAAGGTTTTGTTAAGGAAGCAGTCAGAGGGTCTTGTTAAGGAAGCAGTGAGAAGGTATAATTAAGGAAGCAGTATGAAGGCCTTGCTAAGGAAGCAGTGAGAAGGTCTTGTTGAGGGAGCAGTGAGAAGGTCTTGTTAAGCAAGCAGTGAGAAGGTATTGTTAAAGAAGCAGTAAGGTCTTGTTAAGGAACTAGTGAGAAGGTCTTGCTAAGGAAGCAGTAAGAAGGTCTGGTTAAG